CATTGGCGCCGTCCTACAGCAACACACAAATGGGAGCTGGAAACCTCTTGCATTCTACTCTAGACGCCTACAACCCGCCGAAGTCAAGTACAGCACGTTCAGTCGCGAACTGCTAGCCGTTTACTCTACAGTTCGACATTTCCGACACGTCCTCGAAGGTAACACCTTCATTATCTTCACCGATCACAAGCCGCTTATCTACGCATTCCGAAATCAATCAGCTCGACACTCACCACGTGAGATTCGTCAGCTGGATTTCATTGCTCAATTCTCGACTGATATCCGACACATTTCTGGCCAACAACATACGAACCCCTCCAAAGCTTTTGAAAACGACAAAAAAACCGACAAAAGTTTTTTTTTGAAAACCCAAAAAGAACGCAAAATGTTTTGAAAACCCGAAAAAGAACAAAACGTTTTGAAAACACAAAAAGAGCTACGTTTTGACTGACGCCTACCTCATCCGGTAAGTGTCACTTTTGCTTTTGCCCTCGCCCCCACCGTCACTGCTCTTGTTTCCGTTTATCTTCCATGTATGAACCGGAGGAGATGCCGAGGCTGAAGCGAACCCTTGACCTTCACGAACTCGCGAACATTTAACGCTTGCGAACTTCCCCCCTTTTGTGTTTTTGGCACCGTTAGGGAGGACACGGGTGGGAGCCCGCTAGGGTCCGATCGCCTGGTTCTCCCCCAGCAGCTGCATCAGGTTTCACTACCTGGTCTCGCAGAAGCCTGGCCCGCGACGGACAGTCCTCACGTAGATCGAAGGGTCACCCACGGTTTCCCTTCTAGGAGGGGGGCTGTGTAGCGACCTGGAGATTCCCCCGTATGACTGTGTAAACTATTCTAAAATATTGAAATTATAGCTTTCTTATGTATTAGGGAAGTATTCGGTTTGCCTGTTGGAACGTTGCTCCCGTTTGTTGAAAACACGAACAGGATCTCCGCCTTTGGCGCGCGCGACTCGATTGCGAACGACGCTCTGTCAACGCACTCGACGCCATCGACATTCTCCCTAGCTAGCTCTCTCCGGGTGCCCTATTTTTAGCATTAGCTAACGCTCCTCCCGTTCAATAAACTTCTTCCCTAGTTTACTTTTGTGTCTTCTTCCCACTACTTTTGGTTGGTCGTCTAGTCCCGTACCGGATATATATAGCGCACGATCCACGCGCTATAGTTTTCCCCGGATTACGTCGTACCCGTTTTCGGGTACTTACCAAAGTCGTCCATCTTTTTCGGGTTCAGCCTCTGGCTATTTCTCCGGTATTTTTGTGTTTTTAATCCGTTTTGCACCTTGTTTAACCCATGACTGTTTCTGTTGTCTGCTCTGCAGGTAACAGCTTGTCGGTTTCACGTTTTCATACTTGTTTCAAACTCTGAAAGCGTCATATCGGATTCACTGAATACCGGCTCTAATGTTTCTTCGGCTGCATTGCTCATCGAATCTAATGCTGTATGCGTCAGCGGGAGCTGCTCACAGCCCGTGACGGACGAGTCTGGAGGCATGCAGTTCTATGTATGCAACTGCTGGTACCATGAGAACTGTACCGACTTGAGCCCTTATCAGTACGCAATGCTTTCGACTAGCGATGGCATGCTGTTTAATTGTCTTCTATGCCGTCGCCATCGATCTACGGGTCTTGAGGTCACTGAGGAGATATCAAGCTACATCTGGCTGGGTAATCAGCAGTTGTGGTCCTTCTTCATATCTCTTGATCGGAAAGTGGCGTTACTGATGAGGAATATGGGAGTCTTTATTTATGTTGACTCATTAGAGGAAGACACGCAACTAACCTCACTTGCTGTGAATGAAAATCCGACTGAGGTGATGACTACCTTGTCGTGTGTCCTAGCGGTCCAGAATGCCTCTAAAGGGGCCTCTGATGTCGTACTGGAAGCCGTCCAAAGCGAGACCGAATTTTTGGCCCCCGGGTCTAATAAAAACAAGAGGAAGCTGGCTAAGAAAGTCCGTAAGGCTGCCTCAAAGCCTGAACGTACTGAAAGCATTAAGGTATTGGAGGTGGAGCACAAAACTCCAACTCCGATCACCCCAGTTCCATTGGCGAAGCAACGCGCCGTGTCGACTTCGGCCATACCCGCAAAATCTGAAAAGACTAGACCGGTGAGGGAGTTGGAGACAGAGAATAAAGCCTTAACCTCAATTACTCCAGCTCACTTGGCGAAGAAACGCGCCGTGTCATCTGCCAAACCGGTCGAAACTGAGGTTGCGTCGAAGACACGTGGAGTAAATACGCCTCGTCGAGATGATTCTTTTACTGATAGTATCGTTATCTTTCGTAACGTTGCTGAATCCGCGGCAGCTCTTCCAAAGGAACTCATGCTAGATGACCTCCAGTGGTTCAAGTTCTGCGTCAATAAGATGCTTCCACCTGGTTTCCCCGGTGTAATTATCAGGAAATAAACCAGATTGGGGAACGTCCCTGTAGACACGCCGACTCCGCGACCCCGACTACTTCGTGTATTTCTCTCTACCCCAGAGGAACGCAAAGCGTTAATGCGCTTTGCATTCAAACTCAAGGGTAGTAATGTCAGCGTTCAGCCGGACCCACTGGCAGATCGACTGAAATTAACGGAAGCCCTCAAAAGCCTAAAGAGCAGGCGGGCGGCTGGTGAGCAAGGCCTTCGTCTTGTGGGTTTTCAGGTGGTCAGCCGGAAGTCAAACTCTGCTCTACCAGAACCTCTCCTGGTAGCGTACGACCCAGGGCTGGTCGTGCCGAGTTCCTTCGGGTAGTGCTTAGTAATGTGCGTAGCCTAAGGAACAAGGTACACGAGATGGGTCTACTTGTAGACAAATCTCGTCCCGACATACTTGCTATCACCGAAACGTGGCTGTCCCCGGATATCACCGACGGTGAAGTATGTTTCCCTGGCTACGCACTGCTTAGATGCGATCGCTCCGTTGGCCGCCAAGGTGGGGGCGTCGCTCTTTATGTGAGTTGTAAACTCGATGTGTTGAGGACCTGTGTGTTCCAGTCGCCGGATCAAACTGTTGAAGCACTCTCAGCTATTGTGTGCACTTCCTCTGCTCAATTTACAGTTGTAATGGTATATCGAAGTCCTGGTAGTATCTCCAAGCAGGTTATTGAATTTATTCGTACTCAGGCTGCCAATAAGTGTCTAATACTGGGTGACTTCAACCTCCCTGAAGTCTGCTGGGCTGATCTATCTTGCAGTTCGGCGGTGGGCACTTTTGGTTCGGACCTCCTCGAGCTAACATTGCGACTACCTTTGCATCAGTTCGTAGACCTCCCGACTAGATATATGCGCAACCAAATCCCGTCTACCTTGGATCTCATTTTTGCGAAGTCACACGATTTCGTAAGTGATATCCTCTAGGAGCCAGTGACCATGTCTGCATATGCTTTTGATGTGCTCTAACTAAGTGTCATCAAGCTACCGCTGAGGCATGTCCAAATATTTGGCTAGCAGACTTTAACCTAATGCGGGACAAAGCTTCAGTTTTGCGTTGTGCGACACCGTGGCTGACACCGTTGAGACAGCCTGGGAGAAATTTAAGGCATACCTCACCGAGATCTCTGCCCCCACATCCCACTCACTAATAGAAGGGTGACACGGACGCAACCTCCTTGAATAGATCATACAGGTAAATACCTGCTCATCATCATCATACACGTTCGCTGGAGGTAAGAATCACCTCAGCTACTGTGCCGCAATACACAGAAAAAAGAAAAAAATGCAACTGGTGCAAGCCGGCTGAGCTACCGATAACGGATGGGCATCGTACCAGTAAGCGACCAGCCGGCAACTGTGCATCAAAAAAATTACTATGCTAAATTCCATAAAATTAAATAATGAGACCGTGATTGGAGGCGGTGGGGTGGGACCAAGAAACTCACAGCACGAACGCCACTGAGGTCGGCTCCTAGCCATATCAGCAAGTGTGTCCAACCAAACGTGTTCATCGTCTTTTGGACCCCAACCAGGGAGCCGAGACGCTCCCACCGAGGCCAGCTCAGAAGTGAGGGCCTTCATTCCTCTGGACCAAATCATCGCTTGGCCACTTCTCCTCTTCTTCCATTCACACCTCCGGCGCGCAAACAACGCACGTCGCGGGAGTCGTTCGGCTGGCATGCGTAACACGTGGCCGAGCCATCGGAGCCTTGTGCGGGTAATAACGGTGCTGAGCGGTTCAGAACTTTTTGCTGGACCGTAAACAAGGCGTTGAACACGCTCGTTGCTCACGCGGTGTTCCCACCAAATGTGAGCCAAATTACGAAGGCACCGGTGGTCGAACGTAACTAGCCTCTTCAAGTCCGCTACTTTAAGCGGCCAGGTTTCACAACCGTACAGTAGGGTCAAACGTACTGCTGCATTGTACACTCTACCCTTCAGGGCAAGAGTGATGTCGCGCCGGCGCCATAAGTGGCGAAGGTTAGCAAAAGCGCCCCGAGCTTTTGCTATACGATTCGTAATCTCATCTTCAATCCCACAGGCGCTGATACAACTTCCCAGGTAGTTGAATTTTTGAACGACTTCTAGCTGATCCCCACCAAGGGTCAGCGTAGGGGGCGGTCCAGACCAATCTTGGAGAAACGCTTTGCACTTCGACGGTGCGAAGCAAAGCCCGAAGTGACGGACAGCTAGTGCTAATCTGTCCAGTGCCGCTTGGCACATTTGTGAGCTGTCACAGCTTAGGGCAATATCATCAGCATACTTTAAGTCAAGAAGTCGTTCTCCTGGGAGTAGCTCCACACCTTCCAAGTCGTGTCCTGTGAACGCGATTTCCATGACTTCGTCAACAGCGAAGTTGAAGAGGAAAGGTGACAGCGGGCATCCTTGTCTCACGCCGCTGGAGATATTAAAGGGCGACGACAGTTTGCCGTAAACCCGTGCTACGCGCACATAATGCTTGGATAATATTCACATATTTCTCGGGCACACCTCTCCTGAGTAGACAGTCCCAAAGTGCATGTCTGTCCACCGAACCGAATGCACCTTTGATATCGAGGAACACGACAATGGTGAGCCGCCAATATATGTGACGGTGCTCCAACAACTGACGCAAGGTGAAGATGTGGTCAATGCGGCCACGACCTCGACGAAATCCAGCTTGCTCTTCACGAATATGGCTTTCACGATTACCAGTCAGTCTGTGAAGGATGACAGAAGCAAGCAATTTGGAGGCGATGGATATCAGACTGGTTTCTCTATGGCTGTGGCATTCCGATCGTGAGCCTCCTTTGAAAATTGGGACTATGATGGAGCGGCTCCAATCGGTTGGGACAGTTTCCTGCTCCCACAGCTTGACCAGTAACTCGTGTAAATCATCCATAAAATCAGGTCCCCCGAATTGGAAGAGGGCTGGAAGATCATCTGGTCCCGCGGCTTTATTTAACTTCAACAGTTTGATCTCATGTTCGACTTCTGAGCGAGAGTGTGGATCCAAAGGGACAACCCAGGGAGTGGGGCGATCAGTGGCCGGCGAGAAATCTAACCATTCAGACCGATTAAATTGCTTTTCAGAGTGCTCAGCCCAACGGTTCAAGCGTTTTGGTAAGCTGTGGATAGGCTGTCCACTCTCGACACAAATTGTTTCACTAACACCAGGTCTCCTGCTGCCCGTTTCCCGTATCAGACGGAATAACTCACGATGGTTACCAAGGGCAGCGACCATTTCCATCTCTGTTGCACGACGAGACCACCAGGATTCGCGGTCTCTCTTCAGGCTAGCACGGAGTTTTGCCCGGAGCTCTTTGCGAGTTTCATTGTGTTCGCTTCCAGCCGGAATCTGCCGGCGAGCATCTATAAGTTCCAGAGACTGTGAAGAGACCCAATGTCCATGTTGGCGATTAGACACCCCGAGGATTTTCCTGTTGCTAGTAAGGTCTGGTGAATATGAGACCAGTGGGCTTCAATTGCATCCAGTGAGCGTTTATCCAAGTCGCATGACAACGTACTTTGATACGCATTCAGAACAGCTGGCTTCGCCAGTTGGCTGGTGTCAATGCGCTCACAATATCGTCGTGGGCGTCCGCCAAAGCACATCCGCAGGTCAGCACACACAAGTGCATGGTCGGTGTCCACACCTGTGTTCCAAATCGTGCGACAGTTCTGGACGCAGCCTCTCCAGCGGTAACTGATAACAATGTGATCGATTTGCGTCCATAGCTGGTTGGAGGCTGGTGGGCGCCAAGTCACCCTCCGACGGGTGCTGTGTCGGAAATTAGTGCTCGCAAGAAATAAGTGAGTATCCTCACACAAATGAAGTAACCGCTCACGGTTATCATTACGGGAGCCTATACCATGTTGGCCGCCCAGATGCAGCTCATCTGTGGATAATTTTCCAACTTGAGCGTCCAGATCCCCAGCCAGCACTACAGTGTCCGAGCTTCTTCTGTGGCGAAGGAGTTCGTTCAGTTGGCGATAGAAGTCGTCTTTTACCGAGTCATCGCTACAGTTTGTCGGTGCATAGGCAGCGATAACGAATAGACACCTGTCAGTCCCACGCGACTTCGAAGTTTTGAACGAGCCAGCCAATGGGACCGCACACATCCGGCTACTGATTGGAATCCAATCAACCAGAGCAGCTTCAGTCCGGGGACTCAGGGCAATACCAACACCGGCTTGGCCGGTGCTCGAAGCTGCATCGTCACCGGATAGGCGCAATGAGAAAGTTCTGCTAGTGTCACCTGAAGAGGATCGCAGAGTGAGTACAGAGCTCGAGTCTTGCAGGCGGGTCTCCGATAAGCAGCAGATATCGATCGAGAGGGTCTCTAATGTTCGGGCAAGTGCTGCCTGTTGACCGATCTGAAGCGGCTTCATCAACCAGCACCTACGAAAGCTATTGAGCGGTTAGAAATAAATGTGAGCATCATCTTAGAACTCTTCGTCTTCAGTACGAGGAGGATTTGGCTAACACAGCCGTAACAAATCCAAAGAAGTTCTTTGCTTACGTAAAGACGTAGCGGTGCAAACTCGTCTATACCGGCTTTACTATGTGCGGACGGGACCTATGGGCATACCGACTATGATCATGTTTGTATACTTAGCGAACAGTATACTGGTGTCTTTTCTCATGAGTGTCTACTTCAGGTTGAGCTGCTCACAAAAGTTCCAGAGGATTCTTGCCCAACTAAAATCAGCATAACGGCGACACAAGTCTTCGGGCTATTGCAAAGGCTAGATCCTTCCAAAGCTTCTGGCCCTGATTCAATTCATCCGAAGCTGATGCATGAATTGGCAGCTGAGCTAAGTAGCCCTCTGACATGCATGTTTACAATATCACGACAGCTGTGCCTTACCTTCGGAATGGAAGAAGGCAATCATCTGTCCGATTTTTAAAGGCGGGGACAGAGTTCTGCCCGTGAACTACCGGCCTGTCAGCTTAACAAGTGTAGTAGTCAAGTTGTTTGAAAAATTGGTCAGGGATTCGTTGGAGAATCACCTGATTAAGTTTAACCTTCTCAGTGCGGCCCAGCACGGATTCCGTAAGGGATTTTTATGTCTGACAAATTTACTTGTAGCTCGTGAAAGCTGGGCTGAGGTAATAGACAACGGTCACGCCCCTTGCGTGGGGGGGGGGGGTGGGGCGGTGGGGGTGGGGGGGGGGGGGGGGGGGGGGGGGTGGTGGGGGGGGGGGTGGGGGGGGGTGTGCGGGGGGGGGGGGGGGTGGGGGGGGGTTGGGGGTGGGGGGGAGGGGGGGGGGGTGGGGGGTGGGTGGGTTGGGTGGGGGGGTGGGGGGGTGTGGGGGGTTGGGGGGGGGGGGGGGGGGGGGGGGGGGATCGGAGGGGGGTGTGTGTGAGGGGGGGGGGATGGGGTTGGGGTGGGGGGGGGGGGGGGGGGGGGTGGGGTGGGGGGGGGGGGGGGTTGGGGGTTGGGTTGGGGGGGTGGGGGTGGGGGGGGGTGTTTTGGGGGGGGTTGGGGTGGGTTGGGGGGGGGGTGGGGTGTGGGGTGGTTGGGGTTGGTGTGGGTTGGTGGGGGGGGTTGGGTTGGGGGGGGGTGGGGGGTTGTGTAGTGGGGGGGGGGTGGGGGGTTTGGTTGTAGGGGGGATTGGATTGGTTAGGGGTGTGGGAGGGTTGGGGGGTTAGGGGTGGGGGTGGATGTTGATGGAGGTTTGGGGAGGGGGGAGGGGTGGGGGGGGGGGGGAGTGGCAAAAAATCGAGAGTGGGGTGGGGGGGATGGGTATCGAAAGGTGGATGGATGCAGGTTGATCTAGGTATCACCCATACCTCACTGCTTCACTCTGGGGAAAATTGGAGGAAGGCTGCTTGTAGAGGATTCCGTATGATGTTGTTTATTTGCCGCTCCTTCGGTGTCCTAACGGCCAATATTTTTGTGAAGCTGTTCTCAGCTTTTTTTGCAACCCCACTTAGAGCACTGTATCCAGGCTTGTCCACCTTGTCTTGTAAGGGACAAAATGGAACTGGAGAGGGTTTTGCGAGTGGGTACAAGATTAGTGCAGGGGTTACGGGGGCAAACTATCCCGAACGTTTGTTTAGCTTTGGTATATACTCAATGCACTACCGCAGAATTAGATGAGACTTGATTCTCACTTACCCTATCTTAACGGGTGAGATCGGTCCAGACTTGTCCTGGCTATTTAGTCCCGCCAAGCTGCCTAGTCTCCGAGATCACCCGTTGAAGCTGCACAAACAGTTTTCTGACCGAGTAAGGACGGAAACTCGCTTGTCGCGTCGAGTTATTGAACGTTGGAGCTCGCTTTCGGAGCACGTGGTTAGGGAGTCTACGGTAGAGGGTTTCGAGCGTCAGTTAGATGCTCTTGGATGGCAGTACCAAACCTTCCCCTTCTCCTAACCGACTTGTGTCTTCAACTTTCCCTTCGTACTTTTTTTAATTTTCTTCTCACCTTGGTATTATCATTATTTAGCAGACATTCCTCCTCTTCTTTTCTTAGCTTACCCTTCACTTTTTTACTTCACATAAACCGGCCCGGCAGGGATTGCTGGGCAGGAAAATGTGGGCAGTAATTGGTTGGACAGGGTGTGATGCGGTCTTCGTTTTTGGCTTTTCAACATCTCAAGCAGACCTGTCAATTCCCGATCTGACGATACGCAAAAGAAGGAGCATTCACGGGATTACCCTATCGTTTCGGTCCCAACTGATCTTGCACTTGAACATTGTGAAAATCTCATTGATCGCCATTGGCGGATCCGATGCTCTGGCCGTCACAGACGATAATCAACAGCGCCTTATCTGCTGCATCAAGCAGGGTGGATAGGCTTATGGATGCTACTGCTCAGACCTTCCCGTCTTCTTATTCCCCTTCTTGCGCTTTTTCATCCTTATCGTCCCGCTCCAACTTTACTTTTATCCCCCATTTCCAATCCCCCTATTCTTGGCCCTCCCCCACCTTGCTTCAATAGTCACTTGTCTTCTAGTTTCAAATCACAATCGCAGCGGATCGCTCCAATTCAGTCGACACGTCCAAGTTCAACCAAGCGGACAACGTCGGTTCATCCGCTTCCCTTTGGAGTCCTCGCTAAGACTTGCATGCCTCAACGTGCGCACTTTGCTACAGACTGGCCAACAGACAGCACTTTCCTGCACACTAGAGACCCTATTGATCGATATTTGCTGTTTCTCAGAAATCTGCAACATTCGAGCTCTGGGCTTACTCTGTAACCCCCGCTCCACATGCGACACTGGCGGCATATTCTCATTGCGCCTGCCTAGCGATGATACAACTTCAGATGCCGGTCAAGCTGGCGTCCGCGTTGTTTTGAGTCCCCTTTCTGAAGCTGCCCTGATCAATGGGATCCCAATCAACAGTCGGATGTGCGCCGTTAGATTAGCTGGTTCGTTCTATGCTACGAAGTCGCGCGGGAACAAACTGCCTGTTTGTCATTGCGGCCTACGCCCCCTACAAACTGTAGCACTAACTTCACGATTTTCTTCGTTACAGAAGAAGCACAGGTACTGTAGTATTGGCTGGCGATCTAAACGCCCAAGTCGCAAAATTGTCTTCTAGTGAGCTTCATCTAGGCGGCCAACATGGTGCAGGTTCCCGTAATGATAACGGTGAGCTATTGCTACAGCTGTGTGAAGATTCTCGTCTCTTTATCGCGAGCACAAACTTTCGACAGCGCCCGCAGTACAGCGACTTGACGGTCACTGACCACGGACCAGCCGGGGATGCAAATCGATCACGTCGCGAACACTTGCCGCTGAAGAGGCTGTCTCCAAAGCTGTCGTTCGATTTGGAGCACGATCATGGACTCTAACCACGCACTTGTCTGCGCCTACTTCCGAGTGCGTTTCGGTGGACGTTCGCAGTGTCAATGTGAACAGATTGACACCAGCCAGCTGGCGAAGCCGGGTGTTCTGTGTGTGTGTGCGCTGACATCCGGACTGAGTAAGCACACACTGAGCATCGTCGATTATCACTGGTCGCACATTCGTCAAACATTACTATCAGGAGGCGTGTCTTCATGTAGCAAATCAAATTGCCAACCTAGACATTGGGTCTCTACACAATCTGTGGAACTTATGGATGCTCGCCGACCTATTCCGGCTGGAAACGAATACAATGAGGCTCGCAAAAATCTCAGGCAAAACTACGTGCCAACCTGAAGAAAAACCGCGAAGCCTGGTGGTCTCATCGTGCCTTCGAGATGGAAACAACCGCTACCGTTGGTAATCCTCGTGTTTTTCCGTTTGATACGGGAAACTGATAGCAGGAGACGTGGTGCTAGTGAGACCATACGCGACGAGAGTAGGCAGCCGATCCACAGCTTGTCAAAACGCTTGGAATATTGGGCTGAACACTTTGCAAGGCAATTTAACCAACCTATGTTATCCTTTCTTCTTCGGCTATTGATCGCCCTCCTCCCTGGGACGTCTCCTTAGATCCGCAGTCACGCGTAGAAGTCGAATATGATATCAGGTTGTTGAAATTGCATAAGGCCCGAGGGTCAGATAGAATTTTCCCAGCCCCAAATTCGGGAGACCTGCTCTAGTATATGATTTACACCAGTTGCTAATGAAACTTTTGGAGCAGGAGACTGCCCGACAGACTGGAGCCACTCCATCATTGTCCCAATTGTCAAGGGAGGCTGCCGTTCGGAATGCAGCAATCATAGAGGGATCAGCCTGGTCTCCATTGCCTCTAAATTGCTTGCGTTTGTCATTATCCACAGACTGACACTCGTGAAAGCCAGATTTGTGAAGAGCAAGCCGGATTTCGTCGAGGTTGGGGCTACCTCGACCACATCTTCACCTTGCGTCAATTGTTGGAGCACCGCCATGTTTATTGGCGACCCACCGTTATCGTGTTTCTTGACATAAAAGGTGCCTTCGACTCAGTCGATAGATGTGTCCTTTGGGACTGTCTGTTCAGGAAAGCTGTGCCTGATAAATATGTAGACATTATCAAAGTACTGTACGCACATAGTTCGGGCGGGGTGAGGGTTTATGGCAAACTGTCGCCACCCTTCAGTATCACCAGCGGTGTGAGACAAGGATGCCCGCTGTCACTTTTCTTCTTCAACTTCGCTGTTGAGGAAGTCATGGAAACATTGTTCTCTGGTCACAACCTAGTTGTGGAGCTACTTCCTGGTGAGCAACTTCTTGACTTGGGGTACGCGGACGATATTGTCCTAATCTGTGACAGCTGCCAAACATGTCAAGCAGCACTGGACCGATTAGCACTGACTGCCAATCCTTTTGGGCTATACTTTGCTCCATCGAAATGCAAATACTTTTCTAATATTGCCAGGGACCCACTCCTGCACTGGCCCTTGGTGGCGATCAGTTAACTCGTTCAGAAATTCAGGTACCTGGGCAGCTATATTAGCGCCCGTGGGGTCGAAGATGAGATTAAGAACCATATAGCATAAGCTCGAAGTGCTTTTGCTGATCTCCGCCACCTGTGTTGCAGACGCGACATTACTGTTGCCCTGAAGGGCAGAGTTTATAACGCAGCCGTCCATTCAACCCTCCTGTACTGTTGTGAAACCTGCCCCATCAGGTCGACAGACATAAAGTGGCTCGTCACATTCGATCATGGCTACCTTCGTAGCTTAGCTCATGTCTGGTGAAAGCACCGCGTGAGCAAGGAGCTTGTTCGGCGTCGTGTATTTGGTGCAGGAACAGCGAGTGAACTGCTCAACGCCATTATATCACGCACCAGGCTCCGATGGCTGGGCCACGTGTTGCGCATGCCAGCACCTCGACTCCCGCGACGTGCATTGTTTGCGCGCCTGGGGGTGCGATTGGAAGAGGAGGAGAGGAGGCCAAGTGATAACTTGGTCGAGAGAAATGCAAATCCTTAGTTCGAAGTTGGCATCGGTTGGTGCATCCCGACTGCCTGGCTGACTTCCTAAGGATGATGAACACGTTTGGTTGGACCCACTTGCAAATATGGCTAGGAGCCGGCCCCAATAGGGTTTGTGTTGTGAGTTCCTTCGTCCATCCCCCTCCTGCTTAGTCTCCCCCTCCAATCACGATCACATTCGCTAGGCGTAATACAACTCTTTTTGCGGTACGATAGCCGGCTGTTAGCTCTCCGGAACGATGTCCATCCGTTACTGGGGACTTAGCCGGCGTTTCACTGTTGTATTTTTTCTTCTTGTCTTTGGTATTACTGCTGCACAATAGCTGAGGTGTTTTCCACCTGCAGCTTACGTGTATAATGAATGGTTGAATCAGCTTTTTCATCCTGCTTGCCCAAGTTGTAGGCCGTCCACCACACTGCCCCCTTCCAACCTTGTCCAGAGACCTCGAACAAGGCACGATGCGGAAGACGATGAACAGGCATGCGCATTACGTGTCCGAGCCATTGTAGTTGGCGCCTCGTAGGCGGTAGTCCGGATGCATTGACATCCGAGGACTTTGAGAAGATCGTTGAAAGTCGAGGATTCGAACTGCGGACCGCGGTCGGTAGTCACGGTGGCTGGACAGCCATGTGAAGCGACCCAGCGCTCAACGAAAGCGCGCGTTACGGTGTCCGTGGATACGTCGGGTATAGGTACGGCCTCGGGCCAACGGTTGTATCGGTCGATCATGGTCAGCATGTAGACCATTCCTCTGGATGGTGCCAAAGGTCCAACTATGTCGAGATGGACATGGG